AAGACCGGATTTATATAAAAATAGTATTTTAAAAACGATAAACACTGAACACCAGAAAATTGTGTTTATCTCATGCTGACAAAAGGAATACGAGAAGACCATTGCACAAATGGACTGGCTGATCTACTAAATGCAAATCACTTGATAAACTTTTGGTACTCGCAGTATAAGTACAGTCCGAGAAACTGATATAAAACTGACGCTATCCAAAGACTACTTTTACGATACTGTAATTAAAATTCACTTTAGTTAAGTACAAAACAAGCTTTTAAACGTTAGAACATAATCGAAACTGTAAGATTTCCTCATTGTGGCAAAGGTACTACCGCCATATTTGAATAGCTTGTAAAATTATAATTCAACAAAAAAAGATAATGAAAGTGAAACAAGTAAAAAAACAAAAAGACTTTGTGTAATAGATAAATTCCTCAACAAACATAGGACAATGTCCTACCAGGCAACTTTTGTTCGCTCTGTCTGATTATAATACATAATCAACCATATTACTTCATATCACAAGACGACTAGTACCCACTATATAGCTCAACATTCGACCTAAAATCCATTTGCAGCAATTTAACTGTCGTTTATTTGTGGTGAAATCAGTTGAGGATTATTATCGAACTATTTAAGTACTTACGGAAAAAATGAAATGTCTGGTTTGAAGATCGTTAGAAATGTAACTCGGATGAGCGTGTCTTATTTCCACAACTTCAGCTGATTACCTGTCCAAGACATTTATTGTCATTAAATCTCTCTATTTCCATACTAAATACTATATCTTCTAATAATGTGATTCTGATAATCCACCTAAAATTTCAATTAATTGGTGGTTATGATCTTCCATGTTTTGTAATTAAGAGTGAAATTTACCGGTTGAGTTAATTGGAGTATGGTAAATTTGTTTAAATGTTACAAATAACGAAACAAAACGTTTGTTAGCAAAAGAAAATAAATAAATATGATATATCCTTGACAAGTATAATGGATGGTAACTGTTGGGATCTATTTATAGAGTAATATTACACATGCGTTTTTGTTGTACAATGTTATGTAACTAAACTATGCATACTCATGTTCCTTTTATTATAAGCTTTATTTCGATCCATAGACTATTATTATATGATTTACCGTTCTAGAGTTATGCCCAGTCTATCAATTAAAGTCAACCACATTCATAGCCACTTTTGGCTAGATCGTGTGCAAATGTTATTTTCTATTTTATGGTGTTATGTGGTCTGTTTGGTTCGTATATAAACCCAGTATGTTTGAAATACATTATTCATACAGCGGAAGCTGAAATTGATGTTCTAGATTCAATAGGCAGGGCTAGGCATGAAGAACGACCGATTAGTGCTTGTGGTGGTCGGTGTTTCATATAATCCTTCAGCTTCGTATACAGCTCGTCTTGATAACCGTCACTAGATAAAGTCCCAACGGCGTATTAATCAGAAGGCGAATACGAAGTGTTGATTATGTTTATTATTGGACCACACAGTGATATGCAATATTACGTTAAGCAAGCATGAAAGAGTAGTGCCGAAAAACTAGCAGGCAAGTGAGCGAGTCAGCGAACACGAGTACAAGTACGATGAACATGAATAAAATGTACATATATATACATAGTGAAATGAATGAATCATCGAATTAAGCAAGCGACTAATAGTAAGGCTAGCAGAATATATGCGTAGGCAGTTAGCAATTCTGAGATATACATATTCATACAAGTGTAATAATTAATAAAGGTACAATGATATAGATAAGTTGTTATTGTACTAATGACTCTGTCCGTTAAATAAATTAACAAAAAGGGCTTAACCAAATTAAATGCGAACAAACTCAATTTCACGTGAGCCAGCATATACTCTAGACTTCTCGTACGGGTTTATGCGACATTGGTCTGGTGGATAACTCACTGTTCTCTAATTGACGGTATCGTTACGTTGTATATTAGGGCACAAGGTCACAAGTTATAACAAAATATTTCAATGAAATCACGAACGGTGTTAACACCATTGAATGCCGGCCCAGTGGTCTTGAAGAAAAGCGTTCGCACACGAGGCCTAAGGTGCTGAGTTCGAATTCTATGTGAAGGGTCGTGGGTGCCTTATACCGATGAGTCATACACTAGGAAGAAACGGCTATCAAGTACTTCCAGGTTTTCAGTGGTGGTCTAGCATTGATCAGTTCATGATTTCAAAGGAATACAAATATCTCCACAATCTCAAGCTGAAAAATAAACTTTTTATCTTCTCGTTTGAAAGCTTTGTTTCTTATGTTTCCAATATTTTCATCATTATGTTTTTCTAGATAATGATTCAAAAATATGACTATTGGTTACTTTTATTCGCTAAATCCCCATCCGATTATTAGGCCATTGGTTCGAGCCCACGGTCGAAAAGTATAGTTTCTCTGGAGAAAACGAGTTGTTTGGTGTATGAATTTCACATCCCAATAAAACACACTAATGATCATTCTCTAGTTGCTCAATGTATTTTAAAGTCTAATTTCAGGAATTATAATATAATCACACAAATTAAACATTGTTCAGATTATAAACAGATATAGGACCGTAAATAGACACTGTAGATGTTAATTTGTGGTGGGCTCCAGCAAAAAAAGCTTATTTAACATATAACAATACGCAAGGTTATCAATAATATGCCAAGCAAAAGATAACAAATTAGTCACAATAAAAATAGAGTATTAAACAAGATGACAACAGTTGTTATGAAATGAATGTTACTTTTAAGCTGCTCTCTGAGATAACAACCACAAATGAGTTCACTTGATTAACGAAGATTCCATAGCACGTGGTGACACGAACGGCGTAATGAGGAAGATCGAACCCAACAGAATTATTTAATAATTATCCGGGCCAAAGTAGTGTGGAAAGGCTAAAAAGGACATTGTAATATTATTATAATCTTCAATCAATGGCTGCAGCCAATAAAACATAGTAGACAGTGTCTATATTTCAACCAACGCGGCAGGATGCCGTATATGTATATCCAAACGATTATATTCGTTTTTCAACAATTGATACAGAAAAACAAAAAATATTGAGTATAAATGTGATTGATTATAAAGTGTGACAAACTAAAGAAAAATGTGGCTTTTATTTTGTCGCTACAAAAATCACTAAACATACATGTCACCAAAAATTCATTTATAGCTGAGTCTAATAAATAAATGATTCAAATGGTTTTGGACGGAATAGAAGAAACTTTCGCTTAACAGGCTTCCGTGTCTAGTAACAGGGGATCACGAATAAATCCAGGCAGAAACCTAGGTATGTTAACAACAAAACAGGAAAAGAAATTAGTAAATCATAGTGCGATGCTATCCTTAGACCTTAAGAATAGATCAAGTTGCCTCTTAAAGGACTCCTGGGAGGTCGCTTGGACTAGCTCGGCTGGCAGCGAATTCCAGCATTTGACAACTCTTAAAGAGTAGAAGTTGTGTCTACAGTCTGTTCTGCTTTGCTATGTCTCCAATATATAGATGTACCGCTAACTGAGCATTGACACAGGCTATATAGCCTGATAGTATTATAAATTTACTCAGGATTATTCAAAAGAGCGAACACCGGTGGTAGAGGTAACTTGTTGTTAATGATTGTTAAAAATTCACAAGTGTGTCGAAAGCAAGCACACAGGAAAACAAGTAAGTGTGTGTGTTAAAAATCCGCATATATTTACAAGTGTTAATTGGTTGTAGATAAGTTATTGATTGTCTATGCTTACAACTAATGAGAGAACAAAGATTGATATGTAGACGCGTGTTCAATAAGACCCATCATTTTTCATAGGGGTTTAAGTGTCTAAATTACAGCGAGTAGAGAAATCATAAATTAGTTCAATGGTAACCACCAGAGGTACTCTCAATAACACTGGATTCTCCTTCACATTACAATGGAGACAAAACAAACACAAACCTTGAGAATAAACGTCTGGGATATGTTAAACTTACATCAGGTATAGAACGTAATTCGGATTATACTTACCTTTAACACTTCAAAGTGATAAGTAGTCCACAGTTATAACTGTGACAAAAATGCCTTCCGAGAAAACCTTGCACTGGTAACATCGAACCGCATTTTTGGCCAGTTTGACGGAAGAACTTTCCATATAATCTTCAATAGTTTTATCCGTCCCCATTTAGAGTACGGAAACAGTATTTCCACACTCACTTCAAAAGGATAAGGACACCCTGGAGTGCATACAACGGCGAGCCACGAAATCAGTTCGACGACTCAAATTAAAAACTTATGAAGAGCGCCTCCATTCACTTAGCCTTTACCCATTAGAACAAAGACGTCTTGGAGGTGACCTTCTGATGGCTTATAGTACCCTCAACACCTCTGGACATCCTCTCAAACACCTACTTAAGCTTAGTTTCAACACTAAACTAAGAGGTAACACCCAAAAACTGGAGACACAACATAGCAAAACGGACTGTAGACACAACTTCTACTCTTTAAGAGTTGTCAAATGCTGGAATTCGCTGCCAGCCGAGCTAGTCCAAGCGACCTCCCAGGAGTCCTTTAAGAGGCAACTTGATCTATTCTTAAGGTCTAAGGATAGCATCGCACTATGATTTACTAATTTCTTTTCCTGTTTTGTTGTTAACATACCTAGGTTTCTGCCTGGATTTATTCGTGATCCCCTGTTACTAGACACGGAAGCCTGTTAAGCGAAAGTTTCTTCTATTCCGTCCACAACAATTTGAACCATTTGAACCATATACTGGATTTTTTTGCCTTTTTACGAGTACACTCATCCTGTAGGCATGTCTTGATTAGCTTCACATATAGTAGACTTTTACTGGCTCTGCATTCATACCTTTAGAAACATTTGTTAAAATAAGCTGATGCTCGTTAACACTTTCGCTTTCATGATTTCGCAATGTACAAAATGGGTCATGAAAAGTGTGAATCTATCTTGAAAGGTTTCAAACTGTACGTATTTTTAAATCGAAATCACCATTCTAGAAATTGGATGAACTTACGCGATGCAGATTCTGGAAAAATTCTGTGGCAAAGCACCGATGATTTGTGAGTTTGGAATTATTATATATTTTATTTGTTTTTACAATAAAATAGTTCAGTTCCTGACATAGAACACGAAGGTAAATGTGGCATTAAACCAGATATTTTAAAAAGCGCACGTTCCAAGGAAAATTCTCAAATGCAAATCAGTTTCTCGCGAAATCAATTTTTCCTCAAAAGAGCAGTTGGAAAGTTTCTGGCTTGAACAAGAGGTATTTCTTAGAGACCAATCAATTGAAAGTGAGTGTTTTATAACTGCATGGGGCTCACTATTTTTCAAACGATGTACTAAACTTTTCATCGCTGATTTGATATTCTTTCCATAAAATACTAAAATATGTATTGTTCAAGTTATGAATAATTCTCAGTTCAAATGAATACATCTTTTAATAAAGTAGTAGGTTTGAATGATTCGACTAAAGTGACAAACTTTCAGGTGTTGCCACCCTTCCGCAATGAGAATTACCTGTTATTTGATTTTTACAGTTTCAGTCTTCATTTTCAGTTTGGGAAGTACAGGAAACCTGATGGCCTGTGTTAGTCCTGAAAATGGTGGTCTCTCAGTTGATCCAACTTTGTTTTGAAAGAATCGACGGATGGAGCCTCAACCACGTGCTGAGGTAATGAGTTCCACCCGCTGATGATGCGATGGGAAAGTCGATAGTCAACTGACAATTAATTTATCCCGAGTCTGTGAATAATTTGGAGTGTCCTCGTAAATTCCCTGTTTCGGAATACAAGAAAAATGAGGGCATGTCATGTGCAAATTTGTCACAAAGCCATTTTAAATTTATAATCAAGTCGCCTCTAGTTCTTCGATATGACAACGGGAATAGGTTTAGCTTGGCCAATCGAGCAGCATACGGAAACTTCGCTATTCCGGCAACCAGCTTAGCTTCTGTTCTCTGAACCTTTTCCAGGAGCTCACTATCTTTTTTAAGCAGGGGCTATCCGCTTGTATGCAGTACTCAAGTTTAGGACGTACGAACACTGTATACAAAGTCAAAAACGTTTTAGCGTATATAGAAATTTGCTTATAAGACAGCGCTCCGATTGATATATTGTGTATATTTGAATATAAATACCTAAGGATTTTCCTGTCCAAGTACTTGAAGGTTTTCTAACGTGAACATATAGACTGAACACTTTAACAACAGCCATATTGTAGTGTGAAATCGTTTTTTAAAACACAGCTTAGAACTATTGCTGGGTGTTTTGTTCAACCGGTGGTGCGCTTGTCACCGTTACCATGACATATGTTTAGTAGTGCACATTCTCTGAATCAGACGTGCTAATGGTGATATTTTCGTCACTTTTTATTTTTGTATTATTCATTCAACTGAATATAAATTGCGAAGTTTAACTTTTAATGTCAATGCACGCCTTTAGATTTAACGGTTCTATAGTTTTCCATATAAAACACCAATTTTTAGAATTAATTTACATAAGCTTACATTTTAATATCAATCAGCTAAAACAAAGTCTTAAAATAAAATAAATTCACTCCATTTCTCATATCTTGCTTATTACTTCTAAAAAGCCCTTCATTAGTATAAACTTTGAAGTGTATATTTTGTCGATGAATGTCACAATTCTCTCGAAAAGACCTGTTTTAGTAACATCGTATAGTTTTTCTGAAAAATGGCAAGTTCTACTCAATCTTTGACTTGATTATACGTTTCTTTAAGTACTTAAGCAGTATTTCAAACTGAGTCAAGCTAGAATTACTTAGTTTCAATTACTGTTTCATTTAAATGCTTTGTCACTGTGGCAGACATGCAGCATCTAAGATGAGTAGTTTTCTAAGTACTTGTCGGCAGTAATAGTGACATTTTTTGTAAATGTTAAGACATATATTCCCTTATTCAATACCTATATACTGAGTATCCTTAAATCATTAACTTCGTAAGAGTAAAATACCCAGACCAAAACTGGGAGGACAGCCGTGATTTTAGTAGTGGTTGAAGATGCAAAGTCTTTTGCCTATCTGTCTTACATTAATTATGATAAAACAAAACTCTAAATGATAGCTAGTTCTGTTTGTTAATCACCTAATGGTTAAAGTAGAACAAAATTATCATCTGAAAGTGTCTTAGCAGAAAAGAAGCTATCATGTAAAAAACGTAAAAGTTGATCTTCAGAAACCTTTACAGCTACCACATGTTGTTGCCGCCGTAATTTGTGAACACTTGGCTTCAAAATACTGACGATGGAACATGATCTGAATACAAAACAGACCTTTCTGATTTGACAGATCAAGCAAATAACATAAAATGACCCTTTAATAATCAAAAAAGAGCTGAAGTAACGGGAAAAAGGATGGAATTTCGCAAGAGCTTAAATGTTTCGAAGAAAGACCATGGTATCATCAAACATCATGGTACATCTCGTATTTACCAAAATAAAATAGTCAATAGGAATAGGTTTCAGTTATGTGAAGTCATAATAATATTGGGGTCCAAAAGCTTACCATAACCGTTCTTGTGGGATCTCAGCAGATTAAAGATGCCATATGTATTCGGGTTTCGAAAATGACTTTACACGTAACACCTTTATAATAAAAGTATTTTAACCCAGTCAAGTCGAAATTGAGGATGTTCGAATTTATATCTGAAAAGCTAGCGACATCTCTGGAAGCTTTTAGTCTAAGTTGGCTAACGGTTGTAATAGATGCGTAGCACAGTGTACCTACTCGTGATCTGGTGCAAATTTGTAGCCGAACGCCATCAACTAGGTTTGTCCATTAAGACTAATGAGGTCGACATCAGTTGTCGAAGACTTATAGAACCATTTATTTTGGAGATTTATTTACCACTACGAGATCAATATTGGTTTTCGTCAGCCCCAACATAAGAAAGTCTTTGTATCCAACAATTAGACCGTATAATTCGTTTATCTGTTTATTTGTTGGTCAGACATCACTTTGAAGTATGCAAACCGATATATTGAATATTTTTATATCTTGAAAGGTCTTTATACTCCCCCCTCAAATATTTGAACTTTGTTTTACGAAATATTGGTTCTTTCGTCAATGTTCATATTTGATATCGTCCGACTTTACATTTGTTCTATGGCTAACCGATCTCAAAGCTCTATCTTGTTAGCTGCCTCCTATATTTTGCTTGGAATTTGTGTGGTATATTGTGCATGGATAGTAATGTGGCAGTTAATTACCATTAAACTTGAATTATATTTTGTGTCAGTTCTCGTTATATTCTATGGTTTAAATTTTTGCGCAGGAATACATGGATTTATCTCGTTTAATTCAGAAATATAAAAATATTATTCAACACTCTCTTGTTTGTTTTCACGATCTTATGTTTCAAAATAGCCATCAAAAAGTAGTGATTTGCCGAACAAACATACATGACATAGTTAACGGTCCAATTTCTTTTTTGTTTATTATATTCGAGAACAGAACGATGATCTAGATGTTGGTAAGTACGCCAGGGGTAAACAGTTACTTAACGCTCTGAACCAGTCATAGTTGCATAAAGTTCAAGCCATTGGTTTATGTGTACAGAACCAAAATTCCATTATATCTTAAATAAAAAAACATTTTGTTTAAGTTATCTGGCGCTCTTAGTTTGTTATTTACTCATATTTCCATCATATTTGTCTGTACACTTTCAAGCATGGTATTTATATGGTATATACTAACATCATTCTTGTTGCACGTATACTGATCCCAACCTTAATTTACCCTTTATGCACACACTACTAAGAATGAACGTGCAGTATTCTAGGGGTGGTCGAACACAAACTTTGTACATCAAAATACGTCACTCGCTGTTATAAAAGTTTCGAGTTATGATACCCATTAGACGTTGAGACCTGGAGGTCTGTTTCAACACCTATTCTGTAAATGACAAATTGTAGGAGTACCAAAGTCTACTACTGTATGTAACTTAGATAACACCTCACTATTTATAGTAAGATCTAAGTTGAATGATGTATTACTGAGGCATATCCATGCGGTGTCTGGTATTACGTCAAGTCGACATGGGTTATTCTAGCTTCAGAACAGACCAGTTTATTCATTCTCCTTGAGTTAAATTTTGACCTTGTCAGTTATTCGCTTATTAACCCTGACTATTTTTATATAAGGGTATGTGTGTATTGCTTACCTCATTGAATAACTGTCGATAGCTTATTTTTGTCTGACCATAAATATTGAGTCGGCTCACTCGCCTGTTTTCGTTTTCCACTTTTCCAACAACAATCTCCGCTTCACAACTTTTTTCCGTATATATAATCTGGACTCGCCTCTGTATTTGCTCGCGCGCATTAGCTCTTCTGATGGAATCCTCCTGGTGAGCTTGTGGCTTGGTGATCTGTTTTATTAAATAAACTGGCGTCGGCGCTTCGTTTTAGCTTCGAAATTCATACACAGTTGGGATTTATTTAGCAACGACTACCAGGGCGACTAATGCACGGATTTTAAGGGATTATTTTGAAGTTAATCCACTATATTATCAGCATATTTTTTAGTTATTATTTTTCACATAAAAACATGAGTTGAATACCACAACGTACAGTGCAAGTCTAAGCTGAAATATACTGAATATCATCTCTATGGTAATTAATTAGATTCAACAAAGTTGTACAACTAAATTTAGCACCAGATAATCTGAATGCAGTTTACTGGTTTTACGATTATGTACTTTTAATAAGCGAGTTGTAAAGAATCTTTGACAGTAAAGATCCTGATTACTTTAAAAGCTGTATGTAGAAATAAAATAGTTGATTCCAGCTATTTTCACTTTCAAGTTATTTCTCAACCTGATATTTCAGTACCTACATCACTGATCTGTCTATATCTGCTTTTATAAACGTACTTATGGAATGATTTTTTTATCACACTCTCAGTAGTCCCTTCCTAGCATATCCCCTTGGGAGTTTACTGAAAAACATTCTGCGGACGTCTGTGCGTTCAGAAGATTATATGAAGACTGTTTAGGATTATTCTGCTGGATTTCGCGAGGTCAAAAAGAAAAAAGCAGTGGTATCATAAAATGTCAGGACTTCATCATTATATATTTGATATTTATTTAATTCATTGTGGGATTATACCAAGAAGTTACACTAATGACACGTTCCAAAGTATTTCGAAGTTAGGTTACGGACACCTTGAATATGTTCGTTATAGAAATGAAACTACTTGTCACAAGATAACTTTTGGTTGGAGTATTTTTATGTGATGCA